CTATGCATTCCCTTGAATGCCAGTATAGAATGAATAGGTCTTGTTGTCTTATAATTTTTTGCCCTTTTTTCAAAAGGCCATATTCTCTACTTTAGCCCAATCGCCAAACTTAGTAGCAGTTTATTTTACGAGAATCGTCTCAAATGTGCCAATGATAACGTCGCTAACGCATGCCTGTCGCATTCGGCAGATTTCAAGCCATTGCCGAATAGAGACGGTGAGTGATTGTAATTGAAATTGAAATTGAAATGCGGGCTAATGTCTGTTTTGAAGGGAACAACCACAAATTGTGGGACTTTCAGAATCTTTTATCCACCTTATATGAATTGATTTTTGTTTCCTTTATTTTGGGTATGAGAATCTACAGATAGCAAATGAAGGTGTCTTTGCAGCCTGAGCATCCACTTATGCGATTCTAACCATATATTTCTAGAGCCATGGAGGATCATTGAAAGCGGCGAGTTAGATGATGCTGTGGTTTTTGTGGACACTTGTGCGAAAACGGTAAAGGAGTTTGCTGCCTCAAGCTCCGACAACCGGTTAATACAAAACTTCGGTGAAGCGCGTCTAGTCTGCGATATCGTCTTACGGTTTATTGAGGTGGTTTTATTTATACTTAAAAGCACAGTTCACGATGGAAGTGGCTTATGAGGTATCTTGCTGAGATAGGTTTGCGATTCCCACGTACATCATAGGTAGCGCTGTCAGGAAAGTTGCCTAGATAGGAAGTTATAAAAGCTCAGAATGACCCATGTGTATACGAGCTTCAGCGGCATTTTAGAGCTGCACTAGTCACAGTAGATCTTATGTAAGAAATTCAAACAACATGTCACGACCCATGGCAACAATGAAGGACAATCCTGGACAGTTTTGGCTCGATGTAGTCAGCTTTTTGCGCAATTGCAACAACTGAAGTCTCGTCCAAATACCCCTTCCATGTCATTTTCGCCATGGTAATCTCGTGCAACCTCTGTTGTCACTGCTTTTGAAGAGTCTCATTTTTCGCGAGCTTGGCGAATTTCTTCGCTTCCTTCACTACCGATGCACTATTACCAAACAGTACTTCCATTTTTTGACTTAAAAAGGGTACCTCAAAATTATTGCGAACTTGCTTTTAAATCGTAACCTGTTATTTTCGAACTATTACGAGCGTGTAATCAGGCATTGAGATTTCAGAATGGTATTCGAGCAGAAGACATCGGCGTTATGTGCGTTTACCGAAAACAGGTTGACGTTATCAGATCAGTTCTAGGTGATGATATAAAGATCGAGGTAAACATTGCTTCCATGCATCTCCGTCTTTCGTAGCTCGATTGCATATGTTCAGGTGAACTCGGTAGACCAGTTCCAAGGACGCGATAAAAGAGTGATTGTGTGGTCTTTGGTGTGGACAGAAGATTCTGGGAGGGTAAGCTTTTCAGCTGTTGGCTACCAAATAGAAGTGTTTTGAGGTGAATGTTTCGAACTAATTAGGTCTGATGAGGGAACTTCCACCACTCACTCGCTGAAGGAGTACAATCCCTGTTTCGATGAGGCATTGAGTGTATATATTGAGGTATTCTGTAACCCATTAGTGGGACCCATATGCCGGTGCTGTCAAAATCGAGAGGTGATTCGTCAAGACAAAGAGCGGTTGATCTTGGTGCAGATTAGTTTCGTTTTTCTGGCCGCCAACATTTTCAACTTTCATTCGGAATCGTTGTGGCGTTTAAATGCTCTATTAGATCTATCAAATGGACAGTAAAATGGTTCTCAAATCAGTGCCTTGATCCTATCAGCCAAGTTCCTGTTTGAAGTCCGGTGGATATTCCCAGGCAAGGAGGTGCCAAAACCGCACTCTGAAGTAATGGAGGAGTAATTGGTTTGCCTGGACAGGTGTTTATCCGGGATTCGGTTTTCAGAACATTTGTGACAGAGCGATACTTTGCACTACATCATCTCCGTTCCTTCAGAATTACTTGTGCAAAAACCTGCCGTTGTAGTGACGGTAGAACAAGAGATTGAGCGGTTTTTCTAACACTTTAAATTTCGATCCTCTTTTTATACGAATGCGAATACTAAAATGTAAATCAAGGTCGTCCATTGTTGCGCAAACGTAGTTCGATTTTTTTTATGTTTCAAGTGAATCGTTGCTAAGAACTTCGATCGAGCAATGTTGTATAGCACAGACCTTGCCCTATACAGGGACCATTCTTACTAAATTGAAGCTTTGTACCTGTGCATGGGCATATTTAATACATATACATGTATATGTGTATGTGGGATGTGGGTTTGTGCTTGCGAGGAATGCAGTTCTTGAGGCA